TGCAGACATGCTTTTTTGAAAAGGGAAGTCACTAAGGAAATTCTTGATTTCATAACTTGAAAGTAGAGTACATGTACGGCAAAAATATGAATGGCAATTTTCTTAATGAGTGAATACTGGTTTGACCCACCTGCTCCACAGTAACGTAATTATCCGGTCTAAGATAATACATGTAATGAGGAGATGACAATTTATTTTTAAACTGGACTCGTAGGCTTAACATGGATATAAACATATAACTTCCCTAATCTGACAGATAACCCCTTGCTTAGACAGGGTGTTTATACAGCTGGATGTATATATGCAGTCTCGTTGGACAAAAAAGGTGAATTTTGCCCATATAACCAACATACATTGTACATTAATTTACCCGTGTCAGACAATATATCTCGCCCTTCCTACTTTGCAGAACCTTCACATGGTACTATCATCCATATGTTCTCATTTACATTATGCATGAAATATTTGACAGATGACATTCAGCAAGCACCTATTCAACTTTTATTTTGATAAGTTTATAGAAAAGAATGTCATTTCTGGGACTCTATCATAGCTGTCTGACTATGCGGTATGGGTTTTGGTAATTGTTGAAGGCCGAACGGGGGACCAATAGTTGTTAACTGATTTGTCATTTGGTCTCTGGTGGAAAGATTTCTATATAATTGGCAACCATACCACATCTTCCTATTTTTTATATTTCACACATCTCTCCGACCATTGTAAATGAACATTTACTTTGATAAAGTTTGCCAAAGTCAAACAATCAATTTTATGATTAAAAGTTTTATTTTAGCGTCACCTTAGACCTTGGATATTGCAGTTGTAATCTCTGTAAGACCAACTAAATGTACAAAATTTGAAAATGGTGAGTAGACATATTTGATGGGGTTACAACGATATTGATTTCAACCATAATAGCTGTGTTTATGAAAACAATTTCACAATACCAAAAATGGAAATAAGCTTTCTTACAAAACATAATGCTAACAAGCAAACGGTCTTATATAGTATCCTAATTTAGAAGTCACGGAACATGAAAAATGATACCAAGGACAGCAGACATACATGTATCATGGAGACGGGTTGTTGTTTTGTTTTTGAATATTCCATATTTCTCCAGCAATTTTTAATGGATGTAAAGGGTGACAAAATTGCAATTCTAGTAATGTTAAAGTCAATTGTTGATGTCATTCAGTTGATCAATCAGACATAATTCAAACGAGATGAAATGATGAATGATAAAAGAACAGTGTTCCAATGTCCCCCGTGTTGCACATATTTTATATTTCCAAGTGGCATAACTCTTTCAAAAAGGGTCGATTGTCCACAATTATAGAACTTGTCCGAGATACTATTGATATTAACCTATAGTATAAGTTTTATAAAAATCTTACAATAATTGTACCTGTGAGAGCACTAACGAGGCCATTTTCCATAAATTTAATATTTCCAAGGGGCATAACTCTTTTTACAAATGTAAAAAACGGGTCGGCCACCTTTTTAGAACTTGTCCGAGATATGGCTGATATTAACCGAGAGTATAAGTTTTATAAAAAAACATGTAATTTTTGGATTAAGGCGACATTAAACCAACGTCACAAATAAACAAGAGATGAAGACGCCGACATAGTGTTTTCAACAGTACAGTAGATTGTGCATATACCGTGTATGACGAACTCTTTTTAATAGTCACGTTACAAAACATAACCAGAAACGAGGTTCCTCAACTTACAAAACTATCAAGAAATAACTCCTCCAAGCAATAAACATATTGATTGATGTGCTCTCTGTTTTTTGAATGTGTATGTTGTTTTTGTTTTACCTTATAACTAGACTGTCTGTAAAATTGTTCTTAAATTGATTTTAATTATGGACTGTATTGTTGATATTACTCCGCGTCGTTGTTCTTCAATGTCTTCAATGTACTTACTGGCGTAGCTTTGTTGTCATCTGGCAAAAAAGTCCAAATGATGCAAATAAACTTCTTTAGGGAGCTACCATTTGATTTTTATGGGAGGGGGGGGGGGGGGGGAGGGGGGGGGGGGGGGCTAGGATGAAAATTTTTGTCTTGTATGTTTTTTTAGTTGTAATCTCTGTCCTGCCTTTATATTTTCCACTCTATTCGGTCCTGCTTTTTTGTTAGTTTATCCTTACTTTTTATACATAAATTGTCATCCTAGCTCCGGGTCCGTTCGCCCAAAAACAAGTTCACTCCCATTCACGTTCGCCCCTTTCACTTTCCCCCCTTTCACTTTCGCACCCTACACGGTCGCACCCAAAGTGTTGTACTACATCTATCAGTTACGATACAGGACATTCATTTCCGCACAAAAAGAAGCTTCAAGTTACACTATGAGGGTAAAGAAGAACATAAGTTAAATATATTTGATTTAATTTTTATTCATGCTGATTATATCTTACATTTCAACATTTTTTCAAAACAAACATCATTAACATATAAACAGTAATAAAATTTAAGTTCAGGAAAATATTAAGATTTTGGTATATATGTTGTGTACAAGTTATCATTTTGTACAAATTATAATTTGTACAAAACAATTGTACAAATTATAATTTGTATTTTGACTTTGTACAAATTATAATTTGCACAAAACAATTGTACAAATTATAATTTGTATTTTGACCTTGTACAAATTGTAATTTGTACAAAAAGTGCTTGTACAAATTACAATTTGTACAAAATTTGACTAAAATTCACCTATAACTTGTACAATAATTTATAGTATGGTTTTTGTTGATACACACCATAGAATTTCTATTCAATGACCACACCATAAACCTTACTTACAAAATACAAAAAATAGTTCTGTATCATTTATTTGAGCATTCGAGTGAATTATGGCATCGGGAATTGCACAACATCTTTTGCTTTTTACATTTACATTTAGAAGTGCTGCACATCCCTTTGCATTTACATTACAGGAACGCCTGACCACCAGTTTTTGGAAGCTTTTTAAATGCTTCACGTACTGTAGCGAAAGTTGAATCTCAGAAACCATTGCTGCGAATAAAGATGTGTCTTTAACAGCTTCAATTTGAATTTCTCAACAAATATCCTGTTCAAATTTCTACAGCTGTTCCTATGCGGTACCCAAATTCTTGAGATTCAATAATTACGCCTAAGATATTTCGAGGATCAGTTTGGGCAAGATCCCACTGAGGAATTGGTATAATGACATTATCCCCTACAGCAAGTTCTGATAATTTCGGTTTCGTTTTCTTGGTTAGATATTCGGCTTGGGTCTGTTGGATAGACACCGCACGCTTCCTTGCACGTATGATTGGTGTTTCAAAGTCAGTGTCATCCTGATAGTCACTGGGGCCAATTTCTATTATACTATCAGAATTGTCACTTGGGCCAATTTCTATTATACTATCAGAATTGTCACTAGGGCCAATTTCTATTATACTATCAGAATTGTCACTGGGGCCAATTTCTATTATACTATCAGAACTGTCACTGGGGCCAATTTCCATTATACTATCAGAATTGTCACTTGGGCCAATTTCTATTATACTATCAGAATTGTCACTAGGGCCAATTTCTATTATACTATCAGAATTGTCACTAGGGCCAATTTCTATTATACTATCAGAATTGTCACTAGGGCCAATTTCTATTATACTATCAGAATTGTCACTAGGGCCAATTTCTATTATACTATCAGAATTGTCACTAGGGCCAATTTCTATTATACTATCAGAACTGTCACTGGGGCCAATTTCCATTATACTATCAGAACTGTCACTGGGGCCAATTTCATTATACTATCAGAATTGTCACTAGGGCCAATTTCCATTATACTATCCGAATTGTCACTGGGGCCAATTTCTATTATACTATCAGAATTGTCACTTGGGCCAACTTCTATTGTACTATCAGAATTAACTGGCATGCATGTATCAATTATATTTCCTGTCTCCATCTGGGTATTTTTGAATTTTGTAAATAAGGTTTATTGTGTGGTCATTGAATAAAAAACCTATAGTGTGTATCAATGCTTTTTTATAGCAAAATCCATACAATAAATTATTGTACAAGTTATAAGTGGATTTTAGTCAAATTTTGTACAAATTGGAATTTGTACAAGCAATTTTTGTACAAATTACATTTTGTACAAAGTCAAAATACAAATTATAATTTGTACAATTTTTTTGTACAAATTATAATTTGTACAAAATGATAACTTGTACACAACATATACATATAAAAAAAATTTGAACTGAAATAAATTCAACTTGAATTTGAATAAAAATTGTGAATATTAAGTGATTTCAAACATTGTTATTGACAAGAAATACATTTATCATATATTAATCTAGTTTATCATATATTTAGTACAAAATACAGCAACTTTGTATATCTAATAAAGGTTCTTTTTTCCAGTCTGTATCACCTACCCTGTATCGCATACCCCGTATCGCATACCACGTATCGCATACCCCGTATCGCATAGCTGAACCCGTATCGCATACCTGGCGTGACGTCATAAATCGAATGACGTCAGCGTTTGACCTATGTCGTCCGGTTGCTGTATTTCCTGGCATAGGAAAAAAGCAAGTTCCCACTCAAACAAAGTCCTATCATTTCAACTAAAATCGATATCTTAAAAAAAAATATTATCCAGTAACTTTATGAGCGATTTTTATGAAATATATACAGTAAGATGTAGAAATGTCTGAAGTTTTATTGTTTTTTTGGCCATAATTTTTGTGAGGTTTGTTTTCATTATCTGATGAATTAAACACATATGCAAAGTTTTACGATTTTAATTTGGTTAGGATGCCTAGCAAACTTTTCAAGAAATATTTTTTTTGTGTTCACCTCGTCATAAAATTTAAGTGATCATGAATAATATCATGGCCAAATAAACAATCAAACTTTAAACATTTCTACATCTTATGGTATTTATTTGATATAAATCAGTCATTTTGTTACTTGGTAATTTTTTTTTTGAAAAATATTGAATTTAGTTGAAATGATAGGACATTTTTTAGTGGCAACTTACGTATGTCCAATGACTGAACATATAGGAATCCCCCAGTTTGTCTGTTAATAATATTTTAATAGATGATACTTGGAGGGAATAGCTGACAGCATCGTTAGTGAATGCTTTTAAATACATGGTCTTAAAAGAATATTGAAAATGTAATAAGGTTAAATGTGACATTACGATGTGGATATTAAGCAAATAAGGAAGTATATAAAAAAACAACAATTAAGCTAAAAGAAAAATACATGAAAATCATAATGTTCTTTTCTTGCTTATATTTTGGACGATTTAAAAAAAAACGGATATCCCATGATTCTAATTCTATTAAAATATATGATAAACAGAATAATACATGGCAAAATCCGTATCGACCAATATCAGCCCTCGGGACCTTCGGCCCTCGGGACTGATATTGGTTTCTCGTGATGATACAGCATGCGCTACGGATTTTGCCATGTATTATTCTATATAGTAAATACAGTAGTTTTGAATATATGATAAATAGCCTGCTGTTTAATCCGTATCGCTCAACTTTGATGCAGACCTTTTACCACACCCCTTTATCGCATGTTTACCCTTTATCACACCCCCTTATCGCATGCCTACCCTGTAACACACCCCTTTATCGCATGCCTTCCATTTATCACAACCCTAATCGGAAATATGAAAATAGCACAGAAGTTAGAGAATTATTTTTCTTCAGTGGGTCAAAAATGGAACGGTCATTACGGCATTTTTTGAATGACGTCATTGTTTGGCAAGACGTCAAGCTTTCATATTTTCTGGCACACGAAATGAAATCATAAAAACTACGGGCAGCAAGAGGGTTAAACTTTAAAATTTTGATATTTCAAAAGTGCACATTTTACTCACCAGTCTCAAAGTATTCTTTTGCTTATTACAGTATACTTGTTATTAAATCGTTGGTTTATTGTTACTATTTTTTTATTAATACTAGTAGGTATTATTCAGAATGTGTTTATATATAGTACACACATTACCTTTAATTAGTAAGACAAAAAATACTCAATGAAATCAAAACACAAATAAAAAAATAAAAATACAATAATCAAAATATTTCTATGAACTACAGGACGCAAATTGTAAGTTAACCCAGGTTCTTCGGATGAATAATTACGTAGTTCCTATATATGATAAAGTTGTTAAAACAAGGCTAAAATAAATCTGAAGGTAACCTAGGTGCTTTGGATCAGTAAGCAGTTCCTATATACTTTCCTATTAAAATGTATGATAAAGCGTATAAAACATGGCATAATTTGTATCAAATGACGTGAATTATGTTTTCAAATACTTTTTTGTTTGTATTTCAATCTTTAAATAATTTGGCAACGAGCATAATTGAAGTGACAATAACTGATGAAACGCGTAAATGATGCATTAACATTAGTACATATATGTTATTACCATTGTCAATAAACAAACCAATCGAATTGTTGCTTCAAATTAAAAAAAAAATATTACCAAAAAAATAATCATCAGCCACATATCATGAATTTCAAATAACCAATAACACAAAAACAACATTTGGCAGAGCAATATGAATTATGGATTATCAACATATAATACAGGTACATTGCAAACATGAAAAAATGCATACAACATGCAATCATTAATGATATTCACAACATAACTATAAAACAACTAATATGTGTGTCAACAATAATAATTTGAATATATTAAGCCTCGAAGTGACATAGAAAAATTCGAAGACGATGAAATCTATGTGTATACTGGTCTTATATCATACATTGTTTTCAAACACGTGTTTCTTTAACCCGAACATGCGCGGTTTTATTTTCATGTATCTAAATATAACAGTCACTTGTTGAAGATCGTTGAAGGATTGATCGCGATCGATCTAAGCGTTTGTTTACGATTCGATTATAAAAGATTTTTTTTAAACAACCTTTAATGGTGGACTTTTTAAGTCCGATTTAAAGATCGACCTTTCATATTTACATAAAGATTAATATCGATCTTTTAAAGATCGAAAAAGATCGATCTTAAGAAAGGTCTTTGTTACTAATTTAAACGGGGTATTAGGGATACACTAAAGCTGTCACAAACAACAAATGACATCCGCGAGTTCGTTAATAATATTCTTAACACAGAAATCCGTTTTATATGATTAAAAAATATTACCTCCCTGGTAATGGTAGTAAGATACATATTTAGTCTGTATTTAGACTGTGTAACTTGTGATCAGGCAAGTTATAATTATAACTGTTACAGTAGATCTATGAGAAAAGCTGCCAAAATTGAAAAAAAAATCATCTTGGCTGTTGATTAAATGTTTTAAGAAAAAAAGCTGTAATTGAAAATCAACACTATAGCTACCATATGCTCAGATGTTGATAAGAAGATTTTTTAGAAACATTCGTTTCATGCAGTAGAATAAGTGAAATTGGGGGATAGCATTTCATTAGATTTACAGTAGTTTAATTACTAAAGATAATCGATTGATTGATTTTTGGTTTGCTTAAAGTCCAAGAAAAATATTTCATGCATGTCCTTGACTTGAAAGATGATAAAAGATATTAAGATACTAAAAGAGTTTAAGGTACATATGTATTACATTTTTTCTCTGATATTGTGTAAAATGAGAATAAATATGTATTAAGTTTACAAAATAACAGTCGGATTACTCCCCTTTATGTAAAATTTATACACATATGTCAAATAATTTAGTTCAAAGTTAGACACTTACTGCTGTATATAACACTGTCAACACATACCTTAAGTTTACATTTTTAAAGAATTTGTTCTAATACATATACCAACAGAGTTTTATTTCGCTCTTATATCAAGTAAACAAGGTATAATAGAAGGAATGGAACAGTCTGCTTGTTTACTTTTTCAAATATATGTGTTCAATCATTCCTTCTTCTTCCGTTGAGACCAGATCAAAATTGAAATCATCTTGAAAAGAATTTTCGTTTATCCATTTACTCCATCATAATCAAAAATTTCTCTGTCCATTTCCTATTTAATGATATTGTTTTTCTATAAACGACGATCGTAATCATCATAATCATCATCATTCGTTCCTTCTGAAAAAATATAGGCAGTGGTTTTCATTGGTTAAAACTCAAAAGTTCTCTGAAATAGTTTGGCAATTAAAATTTGTCGATCGTAAAATGTTCTGTTGTTTTGATTTAAAACAACAGTTAAAGAATTTATTCTATTTAACAAAAGTAACATTATTAACCAAGGAAATTTTTGTACCGTCTTTTTTAAGATGTTTCGATGTTTCAATTCTTATTTCCATGTATACACAAATTACTCTATGGCAGAAACAAGTCGATAACACAATTCTAAAAAAACACTACCACAATAACCAAAGACTGAGTCCACTGAAAACCGGCAGTAATTTAAGGCGCATCGAAAGGGAAAGCAGATATTGTGCCACATGTGGTACTTTTCCTGTTAAAACGAGACTGTAATAATAGCTTTATGAAGTATGTTTCTTTTTAGAAATAAAAAATTCGTTCAAACGCAACTGTAGACCAAATAATGCGTTCGGCAGACAAAATTATAAATCTGGATTGGTGTTATAGCATACTTACCAATATCAGAATCAGTACTTGAGTCAAAATTTACGTCCTCGACATATGTAGAATATTCAGAATCATCATTCAAATTCGCATGATCGTATTCGTCGTCATCAGAACAATCCAAATCAAAATTTAAATCAAAATAATTTAAAAACCTGTTACTCAATTTTCTAGAACCACGTTTTGATTCTTCGTGGTGGCAATCTGATTCAAAATGTAGAATATCAAAAAATCTATCTTTATAAAAATGTTCTAAATGTTCCCATGTTTTTATGACACCTACAGAATTGAGTTCCGTGTTTAGCTTTTTGTTGAATTTTAAAATAAATTCGTCTGATCCGTACTTTTGGATGTACCATTTTATAGAAAATACATCGGGTTTTTGATGTAACTCTTCAAACAAATATTCAACAACCTGTGTATCATCAACACAAACAGAAAATTCGTCACTACTGTTAGAGTACGAGAGAGGCCTAACAACTTCTTTGAATAATTGCCATTCACACGTTTTCGTATTTTCTAATATCCATGCACGAAATTTATCGTTGAAACATATGATAAAATTTTCTGCACTTCCATAATTCTCAATAGATTGTCTGACAGTTCCTATTTCAAATTCAGACTTCGATAATCCATATATTAGTCTCTGTATTATCCAACTATCAGTTCTTGGAACTGCTATATCAGCAGTATCAAAAGTTGGACGAATCATTTTAAATAACCGGTCCCACTTAAATTTGTTAACGTCTTCTTCTGATTGTAACCATATTGTCAAGTGAATATTAAAACCATCGACAAATTGTTTACTCCCAAATCTCTTAATGTAATCTATTACATGTAACACGTGTATAGCATCAGGACTCACCAATTCACTTATAAGTCTCTGTGTCAACCAGTTGTCATTTGTGAATGCTCCTATTTCACCGTTTCCAATTCTGAATGATGTAGGACGAACAAATTTTGCCAAAGTGGGCCAGTAACAATTTTTGATATTTTCCTCTGATTGTAACCATTCAGTGAATCTCTTATTAAAATTATCAATAAATTCGTCACTTCCAAAGTTTTTAATATAATGTTTTACATTCATTAGCGACACACTTTCCAAATCTTTAATAAGGCGCTGAATCAACCAGCTATCATTAACAAGTGCGATTATTTGCCCACATGTAATTCTGAAAGCTGTTGGACGACACAAATCACATAACACTTTCCAACTACAATTAATTACATTTTCCTGTGACTGTAACCATTCCGTAAGATCCTTATTGAAATCTCTAATGAAATCATCATTTCCAAATTTCTTAATGTAAATCCGTACATCCGAAATTTTACAAACCTCAGATGTCACCAAAACATTCAAAAGTCTTTCTATCAACCAGTTGTCATTTGTGGTTGCACCAATTTCTCCATTTTCAATTCTGAATGATGATGGGCGAACCATTTCAATTATCACGATCCACTTACAATTTATAACATTTTCATGGAACTGTAACCATTCCGTGAATTTCTTATTGACATCTCTGATGAAATCGTCATTTCCAAACTTCTTCATGTAACTTTGTTCTTGCCAAATTTGAGGAGCATCATGTTTCGCTAATTGATTTACAATCCTTTCTGTCTACCAGTTGTCATTTGTGCTTGCACCAATTTCTCCATTCTTAATTCTAAAATAGGATGGGCGAACAAATTCATATAACACGTTCAACTTACAATTCATTACATTTTCATGTGACTGTAACCATTCCATGAGTTTGTTATTGAAATTTCTGATAAAATCGTCACTTTTGAACATCCTGATATGATACTCCACATTAAAATCCATATAAACAGGAGATTGTATCGTGTAATCTAAAAGTCTCTGTGACAACCAGTTGTCATTTATATGTGACCGTACTTCACCAGTTTTTATTTTGGAAGATGTTGGACAAAAAAGTTCACATAGAACATCCAACTTACAATGTTTTACATTTTCGTCTGATTGTATCCAATCAGCAAGATTTTTGTTAATATCTTTAATGAAATCGTCATTTCCAAACTTCTTAATGTAAATCCGTACATCCGAAATTTTAGAAACCTCAGATGTCACCAAAACATTTAAAAGCCTTTCTGTCAGCCAGTTACTCCATTCTTAATTGTAAAAGAGGATGGGCGAACAAATTCATACAACATGTCCAAATTACAATGCATTACATTTTCATGTGACTGTAACCATTCCATGACATGCTTATTAAACTTTGAAACGAATGTATCGCTACCAAACTTCTTAAGGTAACTTTGTACATCAGAAACTTTTTTAACACCTTGTCTCTGCACTTCATTAAAAAGTTTCTGTATCAACCATTTGTCAGTTGTATGTGCCCTTATTTCACCACTTCCAATTTTGAACGATGTCGGTCGAACAAATTCATATAGCACGTTTAACTCACAATTTACGACATTTTCTTTTGCTTGTAGCCATTCGGTGAGTTTTTTGTTGAAATCTTTAACGAAGATGTCGCTACCGAACTTCTTAACATAAGTTTTCACATAAAAAAATTTATGAGACCTAGTTCTCACCAGTTCGCGTATAAGATTCTGTGTCAAAAAATCATCGTTTGTATATGCCCCTATTTTACCACTTTCAATTGTAAACGATGTTGGACGAACTAATTCAAATAATATTTTCAGACTACATTTTTAAAAATTTTCTTCCAATTTCAACCATTGTGAAAATGTATCATTGAAACTCTTGATAAATTTTTCACATGCATATTTCTTAATATACCAACGTACATGTAATGTTCTACCATGCGTGACCTTAATTAATTCATTTATAACTCTTTGTATAATCCATGTGTCTTTTGCAGATGCTCCTATATGACCGTTTTCTATTTTGAATTTTGTTGGACGAACAAATTCGTTTAACACTTTCCATGTACAGTTTTCACCATCTTTGATTGATTGCAACCATTGTGTAAGTTTTGCATTGAATTTTGCGATAAACTCCTTGCGCATCCATAGAATTGTATGTAAAATTTTACAAATTTTACTTGACAGTCTGCTTTCGGTAATTCTTTTATGAGTCTCGCTATTAACCAGTTTTCATTTGCACGTGCACAAGGTCTATTATTTTCATTCTTGTAATGGGCTGGTCTTATAAATTTCTTTAGTTTTGAAAGCTCACAATTGATGACGTTTGCCTCAAAAGAACACCATTCTGTGAGCTTTTGATTCAATAATTTAAATGTATGTTCCGATTTCTCTATAACAATTGAACTTAGTAAGATAGCACCTTTACAAACAAGACATATGTCGAAAAGTCTTTGAGCAAGAATTGTGCATTTTGACATTGGTACAATTAAATATGTTCCATAACCTTCTTCTACATAATTCCATGTTCTTACATAGTCTAATAATATATCAAGCGAACAATATTTTATGATATCTTCCAATGTTGATTCATGCCAGTATGAAAACAACACCGCATCACGCACCGTGCTATGAAGAAACACGTACTTTTTTCTGTCCGAATCTTTTGTTATATAGTTTTCTGAAATTTGGTTACAAATATCATGTAAATCATTTGTTGATATTCTTATCTCTTTACTGTAGAGTAACCGGTATAAAACTTCAATCATGGAACAATTTAAGTTTAAAAGATTATTTAAGGATTCGTGGTTTTCACGACATATTATGCCCTTTTTCATACCAATTGATATCTTGCAAACAGTATCTAACATCAAACTTGCAAGAACACAGTACTTTAAAGCATCATCAACTTCCTTATTGCCTGTTCGTTTCAATTGTCTTAATTCACGTTTTAATTCGTCTGTTGGGGATGCAAAGAATTCGTATCCCATTGCAAAGAAGTTATCAAAGGAGCAAAATAAACGACAAGTCTCTGGAAATCCTAAATATGGGTCAGTGCCAATAATTTTTTCAAATTCGATGTCATCAAGAATTTTAGTGCTTAGTGGTCTCATATCGTGCTTTTTACAAATATTTATTTTATGCTGTATTGCATGTGATATCAAAATATTTTCTTTTTCTGTTGTGGACAAATTGGAATCACCGTTAAGATTAATTATAACGCCTTCTGAAAACAGTTTATGACATTTAATCATTTCATCAGCAGCATCCTTAATTTTATGAGTTCTTGTTGTAATAATGAACTTTGACATACCGCGATGAACATGAGGTGTCAAAACATCTAAAATATCTGCACATATTTTGGAACAATATTTGACATTAAATTGCCCTAAAAAGTCTTCGAAAATAATCAATTGTTTGAATAGGCGTTTATAGTATCTTTTGAAATCTTTTGCTAAGTTGTGTTCTAGTTTCATAACTATGATACCCTTGGCATGAAATGAAGATGCTATCGCTAAAGCTGTCGAGGATTTCCCAATTCCAGCTTTACCAATAAGAATAAGAAGATTTTTCGTTCGGAGTATATCGGTGCCAGCAGTTACTGCTGAGGTTTTAACATATGTTTCATCCTCGTCATGTTCTTCTATCTCCATTCTAGTATTTTCTGGAAAAAAACAACAGCAATATAATGCAAAAAAGTTTCGTTTTAGATACAATTTCAACAAGTTGTTCGTCATTTTTATGTGGTGACACATTATATGAAACAAAGGTACTGCACTAAGAATATTGCACAAATCAACATTTTGTTCCGCAGTAAATGTGCTGTGCAGAGAGAAAAGAAACTAATGAAAATTAACAAATTTATATATGTATTAGCAAATGACATTTCGATTTGATATTTGCATGCATAATTTTACCTTTTTTATTTGCAAATATTTGCATAACCTGTTATTGCAATACGTGTGTTGTTGTTTGGAAGGTATTAATTTGAAAACAAAGGAAACAGAAAGTTTTGCCACATACGTTTTTTGTCATAACGATAAGGATGACAGATATTGGCTAACCCTTTCAAGAATCCGGGGGTTGTGGATGCTTTATCCTCTTTGCATGACAAATATGTCGTTGTTCCATATTGTATTCATATGAAAAGCCATTATCTGCAATGTCTCACAACAGAGCTTGGAATAAACAGAACAACTGGTAAATCTACATATTTTTATATCATTTACAAAGGATGAAATTTTACAAAATCACAAATCTGTTCTTCTTTCTTTTGGTATCTACATCAAAGAAAACGAAGAAAATTTCCCGTCATTATACTGTATACCAAAACTTTACAAAACTCCATATAAAGAACGATACATAGCAGGATCATCAAAATGTTCGACTAAACATCTTTCTAAAGTACTGACCACTATTCTTTCTACAGTAAAAGATGGCCTTCAAAAATATTGTGATGAGATATATTGTATCAGTGGTGTTAACCAGATGTAGATTATCAAAATTTCTAAAGATATACTGCTTAATCTTAGATCACAATCTCTGCAATTTTGCAGCAACATAAAGACTTTTGATTTTTCTACGCTTTACACTACTATTCCCCATGCTTAGTTGAAAGATCGACTTCACCATCTCATTGAACAGAGCTTTTTCTATAAAAAAAGGAATCGTAGATACAAATTTCTTGTTTTTGGTTATAATAATTCTTATTTTGTGAAGAACCACACTGAAACTACAAGAAAATATACTGAAGATGATATTTTAAAAATGCTGGACTTTTTGATCGATTGTATATATGTTGAGTTTAGAGGATTGATATTTCAACAGACAGTCGGTATTCAAATGGGAACTAAGTGTGCACCCCTACTTGTCGATTTGTTTTTGTACTCGTATCAAGCAGAATTCATTCAGAACCTTCTAAAAGACAAATAGAAAAAGCACCTGGCGAAATCTTTAATACGTCGATACGTTATGCTCGTTAATGTTCACACTATACGGACTTCATATACAGGAGAGTGCTCCTTACGCAGAAACTGCTTCAACAAAGTTATGAGGAGGATAGATTAAAAATGACACGCCGTAAATTTTATGGACACTATCACGAATTGGTTGATCCATACGATGTGTCTTTGTCTAAACTAACTAAGGACATTTTTACCACGTCTTAGATTGTGGTTTGCCATTTACGTTGGCTGGTCTTTTAAGTACCAAACGTGACCTATTCCCGAATGTGACTGTTTTGCTGAGTGTGAATTCCCATTGCTATAAGACGTGTTACGATATTTGCTATCCAACAATCATGTGTGTAGTTATGCAAATGTTATGTTGTTGTATCTGTCATACTGATCGGATATTGTTAAATGTCTTGTCGTTTGTAGTTGTAACTCTAATTATTTTGTTTTTGATTCGTATGTAAAAGTAAATATAATTAATCACCCAGTTCATTTATAAGATTTTAGTTTGGGGCAACTAAACGTACACGACTAAGTTGTTTTACAGTTTGATTTAGAAGAAATAGCTACATAGCTAGATAATACAATTAATTATCTAATTACTAACACAATTCTATATTAATAGTATTGTAATTGTTATCAAATACATCAAATACCATAATTTCAAACCTAATCTTGAACTATATCTAATTTTAAGAGATATATCTAATTTTTAGAAATTTACCTGTGACGTCACTTTTGTTGCGTGTGACAGACAATGCATGGTTCTGTTGTGCTGTTTTTATTTGCTGACCTAGGTTGTTTTACATGTACGTGTTCGTTTTTATTATGTGGTTAGTCACCATTTCTGTGTTGACGTGTATGTCAATTATATGGTAGTTTTTATACATTTTTATAAATTTACTGTTTGCAAATGTATGAATTATTTTAAATACTAAGGATTTTCGTATACCAGGCATAGATAACCTAAGCCGTATTTGGCACAACTTTTTGGAATTTTGGGTCATCAATGCTCTTCATCTTTGTTTGGCTTTCTTTACTATTTTGACCTGAGCGTCACTGATGAGTCTTATGTAGACGAAACACGCGTCTGGCGTATTAAATTGTAAGCTTGGTACCTTTGATAACTATTAGCATGTCTGAATGTTCAATTGTATTATTTATTTGTGTAATGCTCTGTCCTGAATGTTCTTCCATTTAATTGTACTGTAGTCCTGTCGTGTAATGTTGTCATTTTAGTGTTATATTTAAGATTGCCATAAAAGCGCGAGGTTTGGCTAGCCACAAAACCAGGTTCAACCCACCATATTTCTTAAAATGTCCTGTACCAAGTCAGGAAAATGGCAGTTGTTATCTTATAGTTCGTTTATGTGTGTGTTGCATTGTCTTTTGATTTTTTGTTGCACTTCAGTGTTTCTGTTGTTTCGTTGTTTTCATCTTATAGTTGATGTGTTTCCCTGAGTTTTAGTTTGTAACCCGGATTTGTTTTCTCTCAATAGAATATTAATATTGTTAACTACTTACCTATTATATTTCTTGCAGTATCTGCAAATAAACCAGATACACATGTATTAAGATTGTCATGACTTGCCCAATAAATATATTGTCATGACTTTTCCGATAGATATATTGTCATGACTTACTTTATATATACATGATATATATTGTCATGAATTGCCTGATAAATATAATTTTATGACTTTTCCGATAGATATATTGTCATGACTTGCCTGATATGTTCATTGTCATGACTTGCTTGATAAATACATTGTCATGACTTGTCTGATGGACAAAGTATTCAATTAAAAAAATCATTTATTCTCCCTGAAGATGTTTTATATCCAATTGTTTTCAAATCGTCTCTATCGTTAAATAACATCTCTGGTATGTCAGATAATGATGAACGTTCAAATTATCATAAACAAAATGTGTTTGAACCATCTTTAAACGTTGTTCGACATTACCCTTTCTTTGGTGTAGACACAGCTATTTACATAACAAGTATGTGTCACACAAAAAATAACAATGAAGAAAATGTCAAACCTGAATACTCTGACAGTGCTTTCCCCACAATGTCTTTTATTTTGGTTTCCAAAATTGTTATTTGGGACTGAATTTCCCGACGTTTTACATCTATAAGTGCTTCCACTGATTCTACCGTTTGTTGTGCTCTCTTCCGGATTTCCTAAAATAAATAAGTCTGGGAAATCAATTTAATCCGACAAAAATATCAGAAATGATCATTTGGTAAATGTTTTACTGTTATGAATAATATTAGTAATTGTAATCTTAAAATCATCATTTCACAAAACAAACTAAATAAAATCGAGAAAAGTTCACGAGAAAGATAATAAAACCCAAGAACGATGCAAGACACAGTAAAATGATGTGCACATCGTAATGGTACAATGAAACTGATAGATATATACATATATACTGAGTCACAAGAAACAAAAATCAGTCCTTGACATGAAATAAAATACGAAATAAATATCCTCTATCAATGCTTGTCAGATTCTGCAGACCTCTTAGGACACGTTTGCGTAGTGTAAAATGGTCTGGCTTGTTGTTATACTAATTTGACTTGCTAATGGGAGACTTAAATTGATTGGACTATGGTGTATTACATTTCATTACCATTTAATATTTCTATTGCTTTTTTTATTTGTTTAAAGATTTGCTTGACTGTTCTAGACAGAACTGCTGCTGTGACATTGTGGCAACTCCTTTTTGTATTCTGTATCGCCATAGACCAACGAAACCATTATGGATATTGATTAAAGCTTTTGACTATCGAGTACTTCCGTTCAATCTTATAAAAAGCACATTCTACATCTAAAAATATGACAAGTTTTCAACTGTCAATTTCTATTGCATGACCAAAGATGAAAAAGGGCTTATAACGCCCTTAATATTGTTTTTGTCTTAAATTCTGATCTATAAATGCCAAAGTTTTATCTTAATATATACCTGAAATCTACTATGTTACATTCGAACAATTTATTTAATACATAGACAGCATGTGCATTCGTATTTTTGTGCACATAAAGTCACTCAACATTTAAATTAATGTTTATAAATTGTAGTTCAGGTAAGCACAGAATTTCTAATTGACAGGTTATTTGTGACATTGCACAATAAATTCTTTTCTTCTTAGAGATCATTGTTTAAAATTAAAATGCCACAAAAGACAATGGGCACATGGATTAGCTTTGATGACAAGAAAAGGGTGTCCATATTCGAGTCTCATGCTTTTTATCCCATCATTAATATTTTCTCAAAACAGAATTACCAATAAGATAAACAAAATTAAACATTCATATTCATAATCTTTTTAATTATTGTTTTACCTCAATAACAATTTCATCTCCCTTAGTTTGTCGCAGTGCTAAACATTGAATTTCCAAACACATGGATTCTTCTAACGATTTTTCTCTCAGTTCTGAAATACTACGGATTCTTTCGAGGTCAGTGCTGGTAATTTGTGAAAGAGAAATTATTGAATTTTCAATTTCATTCCATAATTTTCTGAAGTATTCATCAGAGAGCTCTCCTTTAATAGCATGCGCAAAGACTGTATTTCTTGCTAGAACTAATTCAGTATGTTCCATCATGATGCAAAATTTTGATAAAAGGGTTATTCGTGTTCGAATGTCTAAACTTGAAGGGCGAATACCTGTTGCTGCAGTAACAGAGCATGGGTTTTTATCATCTACACAAGTTTTGCTATGATTACAGTGTGGGTTTGGTGTACTAAACATTATACCCCATTGATGTTTACTTATATCCTTTCCTGTTGCAACTGCAATTTTGTATTCCGGGTTCTCAATACACAGGCAGCAGGGTGTTTTTAGTAGCATTAAATGAAAAATATCGTGTTTGTTTGTGTTTAAAAAATCTTGAAATGATACTCCACCATTGAGACAGTTGTGCCAAAATTCCTGTTCGAAGTATGTTACAAGGAAGTATCTCAACAATGTAATGTCGATTTCAACTAATTTCAAGTTTGTTTTTATTGTACTACAGCAGTATTCACATTTACTGCTGTGTCTATGATTTGAATGTTTTTGACTATTTTTGTCAAAAAGTGTGTCCATCTGCCATACGCTAATGACAGACTTACATGGTCGCCGATAATTTTTTGGGCACTGACAACATATATTATTGTTAAACTGGTGATAAATCTCATGTTGGTGACTAGATACAAAATCCCTAAATGAAACCCTATAATTTTGTTTAATAAAATACTCTAATAAACATCGCATTGCATCAGCACCGTGGTCGATTATCAGTGTAGCTATGCGGTTAAAATTCTTTCTCATCGTCGACAAAGACATTCTGGTGGGTGGAGCTCTGGAAAACAAATAAAATTCAACATGGTACAACAATTAGTTTTATAAAAGTATTTTGTGAATCGTTATGCTTAATAATAATAAAATCGTGAAGTTCGGTTCAGATTAAACCAAGAAAACAAAGTAGGGAGCAGGTCTTATTAATTTCTAAAACTGTCAAAATAATCTGTCCTATACCTCTTCTGATCAGTTCTAAGAAATATCAACCTTTTAAATAGTTCTTCTGTCTTGGTTTAGAACGTTCGGATTTCTATGGTAGCCCTATTAAGAACCGATACAAGGTAAAACTGTCACATTTGTCGAATAAGATCAGATATAAGAAATTTACATGTAGACATTTTACAGATCAAGAGGATTAAACAGTAAAACTATTTGCCAATCATGGATGTATGTTTTATTGCAGTTATTTAACCTTGTTTGTAATTAATTTATGACCAAAATAGCATTTAAAAATTGTTTAGCAGTGTGGAAATATACTTCTATTTTTTCTTTGATTTTTATAGAAAATACCGGTACTACATCATCGTTAGAAAGACAATTATACATGTCAAGGAGCACTTTATTGAAAGTAAATATTTTGATTATATAATGTACATTGACATATTTTTACCTTTGGGGTATTTTTACATTCGTGTTCACCTCATTGTTTACAATCTTAAATACATAATTATATGAAAAGCAAAATCACAAAAATACTGAACTCCGAGGAAAATTCAAAAAGATTAGTCCCTAATCAAATGGCAAAATCAAAAGCTCAAACACATCAAACTAATGGATAACAACTGATTCCGTATCATCGTATTAATTTAAGTTCGCACTAGCATAATCAACAATTCAAATAAAATTAAATATTTGTAGTCAATTATTCAAAAACAAAAAAGTAAAAGATAAACAACTGTCAAATATTATCCATAAGAGTAAAAGCGTCATCCATAGATATTTCATTGGAAATAATATAATAGATATAATTCAAAACAAATGAATAAATAAATAAAATAGAATGATTCAAAGAACGAAAGAAAGAAAGAAAGGATGAAAATAAATACGCAAGTAAATAGATAATAAATAGATGAAAAAGGAAATAAATTAATTAAATCAAAATATAAATAAATAAATTAAATAAATCATTAACTATATAAATAGATCGAACTGTCATGATCTTTTTATGGTTAAATTGTCACAATCATTTCCTTGGTAGAACTGGCCAACGCTAGCTTTGTCACAGCTAGCCAAAAACTGTTCATAGGGTTGAGTCGTTTCTGTCGTAAACTGGTTCCAACTGTCCCAAGGACAAAGATAAATCAAAAAGTCGAAGAAGAAAAGACAATATTCTCTGTTTACTCATAGTAGCTGTTTTAGCTAACGAAAGAAATTGGCATACGCGAACCCAATGAAGATCATTCCAGAAATAATGTGACATACGAGAAATATATATCATAATGTATCTTCGTAAAATATATCTTTCTACTTTGTATGAAATGTAAACAAAATATCACACTTTTCGTGATATTCGTTTATAAGTCCTAGTATGAACACTAGATGTGCCATTGTTCATTATCAAAGTAAATGTGAATGGCACAAAAGTAATTTGATTCACCGTTCACAAATTCCGGTTGTCCTCGATGTTTTTTTCTCAAATGACTGAGAGAATATTGAACGTGGTTTAAGAGTAATAAAACCGAATAATACTAAATTGAGTAATAAAAATAAAGTTAGAAACGCAAATGCAGTGTATGGGAAGAGTAACCTTAGATGTGAACAAAACATGAACAGTTATAAATAGCATATGATAACTTTAAATCATTGTTTAGCTCGTCTAACTCAAAAGTTTAAGCTCTATACTCATTACTTCTTTAGCTGCTGTCGTCGTCCGTCGTTAGTTATCGTTTATAGAAAAATACTGATTTGAACCTACTAAACTATTCCAAACCAGAATTCCCCTAATAACAATTTAGTATGGAGTTTAAAGGGAAATCACACTATTTATACTACTAATAAAAATTCATTGAAATTTTGCATGTAGACAGATCATACTTATTACGATATTTTAGGCGAAAAACAATTTCGGGTCAACAATTACGTTTTCGAGATATGACGTCATAAAAACTTACAGAATCGCGTTATACCGAAATATAGAAATAGCGCTCTAAATTGCTAAAATAAGGCAAAATTATTGAAAAACGATGTTTAAGTGGAATAACAAAATCAGTCAAATGTAACGTGTACCTTATAAACATTTATTTGTCTCTGTTTCCTTATTTTTGAAGGCCTTTGAACATTTACCGCCATTTTTAATTGCTATTTATAATAGATTTTTCTTGAGATAAAAAAAAATCTACAAATGTTTTTCCCTTCAAACTGCTGCATAAGTTGCAGCTTCAGGGAAGATTTTAAAATCATAAATAAAAATGGGGGGTCACCGATGTTTTAAATCCGCTAAACCGGAAATAATCTTATAATTGAATTTTGGCGGGAACTATAACCTTTTCTGTTAACGTTATAGAACGATGTTGCTGGCATAACCGCATTTCTTGCAACGCTTGAGTTGAATTAAACCTTGCCATTACAAAAGTTTGAACATTTTTAAGGTATTTTGATTATTCATTGATATATTTATCAATCTATTGAATCGTTAAACATAGATACAGTAACAGTGTGTAATAAAGTAATTGTCAAAGTTGAAGTCATCTCATTTTTTTAATTGCATTTGTTGTATGGGGAAAACGAATGTTTGCCTCATGCCGTATTATAGAAATAGTTTTCGGCTTCCAGATAAAGAATCTTCTACCTCGGAAGACCGAGGGTATGCGGGCTGAAAAGTAACACGTTCCTTTTAGACTGCAT